GATTATACATGCCCTTGCAGAAATGATGGCAGTAAAAGAAGCATGTGTTGACTGATCATACAAAAGACAGCCAAGAACAGCAACTCATTCCAAGTTCCATAGAGTTCCAGTGTTCTTAGTTTCAAAACAAAAATTTTGAAATACCTCCTGAACTAGAAATAAATCAGCTTACCTATTCAATGCTGACAATATGGCATTAAAAGAGAACACTTTGTTTGTAAGACTAGAATGCCACCTTTGTGTGAAAAGAACCTTGAGCAACCAACTTGGATCATGCATTATCTACTCTCCTAGGACAGGGGTATCAGACTCAAGGCCCAGAGGCCAGATTCAGCCCACAGGGTGCTTAGATCTGGCCCGCGGTGCCTCTGCCAGTGAAAATGGAGCATGGGAGGGCACGCAGCCCCCCTGAGCTCCATTTTCACTGGCAGAATGTTGCAGGAGGCCATCCAGGCCGAAAATGGGGCACGGGGGTTACTAACCCTAAACCCGACTTCCATTTTCACTGGCAGAGAGCTAGCAAAACAAACTAAAAACAAAACAAAAGGAGAAATGTTTCCCCTTTTGCATTTGGGCATGCAAAAAGGGTCAGGAAAGGAGAAAGGGAAAGAGGAAAGACAAAGAAAAAGAAGGAAAGATGGGAGGAGAACCAGGAAGGAAAAATAAGGAAAGGGGAAGGAAGAAGAAAGAATGAAGAGGGAAGGAAAAAGGAAAGGAAAGGAAAGGAGGAAGGAAGGAAGGAAGGAAGGAAGGAAGGAAGGAAGGAAGGAAGGAAGGAAGGAAGGAAGGAAGGAAGGAAGGATCATAATGAGAGGGAAGGAGAGTCTGAGGGAAGTCCTGTCTTAGCACTTGGCCACCACAGGTGCCCCCGACATGAGTGATGTGGCCACACCCACCCCAGCCCCTCGAGGTCAAACACAACCCTGATGCAGCCCTCAATGAAATAGAGTTTGACAGCCCTGTCCCAGAATAATGCAGAAGTAAATGTTCTTTAAGTTTAAATTAGAGTTGTACTGACAACCTCATCAAACTGTTTCTTAAATTACATATTTTGGGATAGAAAATAACACACACACCTTGACCAGAACCATGAGAAAGGTCATAAATTAACCACAAGTGAAGAAAGTTGCAGTTCATTTGGCTAAGTGCTGAGAATGACAGGAGCAGTGGTGGTTCCAAAATTAGTTTAATGAAGAGAACAACAATTGCATGAAGAATTTGACCGTTCATTGGAAGGTCACAATAATCTTCCCCAACCTCGTGCTCCCACTGATGCATCAGAAGCATAACTCTTATCATTTGCCTAAGACTGGAAATTTTAAAAAAACTGCCATATCAGGAATTTACTAAATTTGGGAAGTTGTCCAATAGGAAACAACAGAGAAGACTTCATCCTGCTGTAAGGGGCGTGGACACTTCTTCTTTAAAAGAAAAAGAAAATACCACATATCGATTTCACTCAGGGGTTAGCAAAATGTAATTCCCTGTATTATAAAAACATTTCATTCAAGCCAACTTTATAGTGGATGAAAGAAAAATGCTTGGGGAACAACATGGAAGTACGACTAAACTTCATCGTATCTGTGCCCTGTCCTTTCAGAGCACAGGATGAATGTTCATATGAAAAACAGAATCAGATGAACATCAATAATTTTCACGGTAAGGAATTGGCTCTAAAATTTCCTAGTACAATTGAAAGCCAGGAAGTTCTTCACAAACAAGGCAGTGAAAGGAGGAGAAAGAAAGAAAGAAAATGCAGACTGCTATTGCAAGAAAAGTAGTTAATGAACAAAGATCTCAGAGCTCTCTTTAAGAAGCGGGTGGGTTTTTTTCTTCTTCTGAGAAATAAAGCATAGGGAAATTACATTCTGATTGCCACATCAACTGCCTTTGTTTCAAGAAGACAGTTCTTCTTCCCTTTTGCCCAGCAGCCAGTCCCTGTTGTTCTATCTTCTGTTTTTTTTTCTTCCCCTTAGAAACATGTTTCCATCTAGACCCAAAAATTCCAGCACTTATGGGCTCCCAGACAGTCTTTCCCTTTTGGGGACCTTCTTGCCTACAGCCCACCAAACTTAGTAAAAGGATTAGCATTCTTTACCATTCCATGCAAGGAAACAGAAACACCACGAGAATTTTCAACACTTCCTTTGTGCTCTTCAGTAACTGGTTAGCTAATCCTGAAAGATACGTTTCATTACTGCCAAGTAGGACTCTGTGGGTACTTTAATTTGCCAGAGATGGAGCCCAGAAATTGTTGGTCACTGCTGTAAGAGCTTCTCACCCATTTTCCTGGAAATAATTTAAGTGTAACTTAAAGGACAAACACAGTTTTGTCCACCATAGCCCATACACACAAATATGGAGCCCGTTAAATAATAGGCATATCAAATGTCAAATTACTTCACTTTATTAAAGATAGACAGATTTCTTCAATTAACTTGCCAGCATGTATTTTACAGGATTAGTGTCAGAAAAAGTCACTTTGAGCTTATGATGTGTGCTATGTTTAATTCTTTTCTTAGCAAAATAGCAACAGCTAAAAGTAAGCGCTGAGAAATCGAAGTGCATAATTTGCCTTGACTAAAAGCCCATTAAATGGCCTGAGATATGTCATCATTTCCCAGCCTTATTTCTGCCTCTCTCCCTGGAGCCCTGGCGCAGAAGGTTATAATAAATATCACTGACTCAATCTTTATAAAGCACCTAAGACAACTGAAATGTAATATACAGCTTTCCGATGTTATTTATTATATTAATTTTGCCATTTGCCCAACTCGAGGAAGGTTTTCCACATCTGGAAAACTTTCCGGGAAAGAAAGTTCAATTGGAGAAGCTCATTGTCATTTGGTCTCCCTTTCCCCAGCTCGCCCTACAATGCGTCTTTCACACAGTCTCCCTTTTTTTACGAAACACACCCATTCCTGTTAATCAGATGGACCATTGTCATGCTTTCAAAGTGTTGCTCGCACACCCATCCTTTGTAGAATGCCAGCCCTTGGGGTGACAAAACTGTATTTGACATCCCTTTTTCTTCCACTCCGAAAATCATCGCAATGATTTACTTACTCCCTCCCTCTCTCTCACTCAGTCAGCAAAAGCCTCTCCCTGCTTGGCAAAAGAAAGGGGAAAGCTGCAAAACAAACAAGGCTGCAACATACGCAATACAAAGCAGCTTTAAGATGAGTACAGAGTAATATTGGCCAAATAAAATCAGCATCCAGGGGTGCCTTTTTCCAAAAGCCCCTCTCTCCGGGCAAGCGTACAATCCTCCTAATAAAACTCTCCACCCCCAGGGCTAATGTCCATGGAAAAGTGCAACGCACACTTAAAGAAATGCCTTGTTCTTTTCCAATCACTGTTTGAATGCGGCGTTGTAAGAAAATTGGAGGTCCCAGAATTTGCTTTCTTTTGGCTCCCCACAAAACGCATGCAGCATTGGCTCTGTGTTATAATTTCTCAGATAAATTTTCTTTGAGCTGCCTCGAGATTGTGTTGTTGTCATACTACAGAAACATTTACCCTTCATTTAAAATTCAGAGAATTTAAGAGAGAAGCAGTGGGGGAAACTCGGGTTTTGACAGAAAACATTTCTTTGCAGACGAAAACATTTCTTTGCAGAAGAAGATAGCTACTGCTTTTTTAGGTGGTACTTCAGAGTAACTTTCTTTTCATAGAAACAATGAAAACTGACAGCAGAAAAAGACCTAGGGATCTATCGAGTCTGCCCTTTGAGTTTATTTTTTAAATTTTTGTGGTATGAGGGACATGTGTTTATCCCAAGCAGGTTTAAACTCAAGTTACTGATGACTGACCCTCAACCTCCCACTGGGAGTTGATTCCAAAATTCTATTACTATTTCTGAGAAGCAATACTTTTTAGCATTACTTTTAAACTTTCCTCCTGTCAGTTTGGGTTTATGCCCCTCTGTTCTTGATTTTTGCTTAATATTGAAAATATTACCTTCTAGCGCCTTAAATCGCCTTTATAATTAAAAGTTTCAATCATGTTCCCCCATTCCTTTCTGTCCTTCAGGCTGTACATATTCAGTTTCTCCAATCTCTCCTGATAAATCTGTCCCTCAGACCTTTTTTGTTGCTCGTCTCTAGACTCGCACAATCTCTTTAATATCGTTTTTTTCAAGTGAGGTCTCCAAAACTAGGCACAGTATTCCAAATACTTCCACTTCCTTCCAAATACCTTTCACTTCCCAGTGAGAGGCCTACCATTCCTGGATCCCCTGACTGCTTCTGAATTCTTACACTAGAGAAAAGACGGGCTGGAGAGGCAAGCAGAGGAACGAACAAGATGTAATGAAAGCAGCAAAATGTTCTGCCAAAAGGTTTGCATATATGGGAAGAGCTGGAGATCAAATGCATACAATGAAATGAATCACCAGCTGGCTAGAAAGATGTTTCTCTTCCTCATCCATCTCACTTTGGTGGATTTTCCCCCCTAGTGCTCCTATACTAGAAAAAGCAGCCACAGATAGTCACAGGTATACCCCGCCACTCAAACCCCTCCTACTATTATAAGATAGAGGCAGGAATAGGCAAAGTACATTTCAAAGAGAGGGGAAAAAATTGCAAAAGAGCTATAATGACATATTTCATATTAGGGTGGAACAGGTATTTTATTACAAGGAAGCTCCTCTGATTTTCATGAAAACAATGCACAAGCTAATATATTCATTTCAGGGCAAAGTATCAGTAAAAGGGTGGGAAGTGATTTACCTGCCAGCACTTTCTATGTGTCCTCCTCCCCAAAATATTTTATTACAAGAGTGAAAAAAAGACTTTCCTGCTTAAAATTTGGCTTGCAGGCATTTGGATAGTAACCCCTAGTTTTAATCTGGCCCTGATTCCGTTCTAAAGCTTTTTCCAGCTTGGAAAAATGCCAGCTAAGGAATTCTGGGAGTTGAAGTCCACACAGTTGCCACTGTTCTAGATTATAGACAAGAATCTCTGCAAAATGCATCATGTTCCCTTTTTTGGTTCACTTACCTGAAGCAAATTCCCCAAATTTCAACACTTTTGTCAACACTTGCGGTACATCCTTGATGCTGCTGTCCTTGCTAAATGATAGCAAGCGTTCAGCATCATTGAACAATCGGTAAGCACTGAAGAAATGAGGGCAAGAGAAAAGAGAGAAGAAACAAAAGAGAAAAATTATTAGTCATCGTGAAAGAGACAGTTTCAAATATCCCCCAAATGGATCCTAAAATATTTCTTTATCCACATTTACTTTGTGTCTGACATCATTGGGTGCTATTCTGCTAAGTCAACACGATCATATTCCCATAAGCACTTGTTTATAAATTGCTTCTAAGTGTTGTTTCTGAGCACAGGGAGACATCCATTAATTGAATTGGCGTGGCTTGCAAAGCAAACTAGGAGGAGGTATGATTGGCTAGTTGGTGATTCAGCCTGTCATGCTAACACAGCCATTCCCTCAGTTTCTTAAGAGGAGAAAGACAGCGTGTCTTATCTCCAGAATCACCAATGAAGTAGAGTAGAGGGAATAGCCTTCCTGAAGCTACAAGCAAGAATTTGCAGGATGACTACCAGGGAAGAAAGCTTCTTTGAAGTCTTTCTGATTAACTCATGGTTTCTGCATATCCACCAGGCTTATGGGATAGAGGATAAGGAAGATAACCTTGTTGGAAATGTACAGGAAGCATTACTTAAGCACAAGGGGGCTGAAACATTTCTTAGAAAAATGAGGTAACATTCAGACATAACTCAGACAGACTTGCAAGATGGTTATTATACTAGTCAATCTCAATAAAGGCAGTTCTGGCCATCCTGTAGCATTAATTAATTTCTGTCCCACCTTTATTATTTTTACAAATAATTCAAGGCGGCAGGCATATTCTACACACCTTCTTCCTCCTGTTTGCCGCACAACCACCACCCTGCGAAGTGAGTTGGGCTGAAAGAGAATAACTGGCCCAAAGTCACCATTGGCTTTCATGGCTAAGGCGGAATTCGAACTCATGGTTTTCTACTTTCTAGTCAGGTGCCTTAATCGCTAGATCATCTTAGCTGTTTCCTGATCTGGCCTACCTACAGTGCCTGACAAACCATAAACAGCCATCTCTCCCGATGCAAAGGACAACATAAGCTCCCAAATTTTCTTGGTAGCCCTCAGCAGCAGAGGCACACCAAGGATGTTCTAAGTAGATGGGAACTTGCTTTCTTTCAGCGTAGATAATTTGCCTTGCATTACATTTTCCTTATTTATAATATTCACTCTACCACCCTTTTTTGCTCCTCATTTGTGCTAAAGGACAAAGGCTTCCCTTGAGTACAGCAAAGAACAGCCTGTCCTCTTGATAAGGCTGTTGTTCTGTCTTCTTCACACTGGCAGGACAAAGTTTAATAAACAGCGAACACTCACATAGATTCGTTAAAATTGCCAACAATGCGGGGTGTCTCCCCAGGTGTCGGGGAACGAAAGCAAGGATTGTTGGCATTACAGATAATCCCCTGGACCCAGGGCAGGGTTCCAGCCGAAGGCATGGCCTTGTTTGGAAAATGACCTAGAAATATGAGGACAAATATTTAGGACATTGCATGACGTCATCCTTAAAACTTCTCCATCCTAAAGTTATGCCTCCTCCACTACCCCGCAAACTGTCTTCTAACACATATGATACATGGCAACAAGAAACAATGACTTTATAATACATGCAGCAACTAGGCAAATTGTGAGAGGGCAAATAGATACAAAAGACAACAGAGCTCTTGTACCATATACAGATCAACTTATAACAGTTTCGTTTAGTGACTGTTCAAAATTACAATGGCCCTGAAAAGAAGGGACTTGTGACCGCTTTTCAGAGTTATGGCCGTTGCAGCATCCCCATTGTCATGTGCTTGATTCACTTAACAACCGTGTTACTCACTTAGCAAATTGCTCACTTAGCTCAATTGTGGTCGTATGTCGAGGCCTGCCTGTATTCGTTTGTTAAAGTTACAGGTAGTCCTCAACTTATGACCACAATTTCTGTTGTTAAGTGAGACATTTGTTCAGGGAGTTCCGCCCCATTTTACTACCTTTCTTGCCACAGTTGTTAAGTGAATCACTGCAGGTGTTAAGTTAGTTGTTAAGTGAAACTGGCTTCCCCATTGACTTCGCTTGTCACAAAGTCACCAAAAAAATTTGATCACATGACCCTGGGACACAGCAACGGTTATGAATATGAACCAATTGCCCAGCACCTGAATTTTGACCACATGACCAGGAGGAGAGGCTGCAAAGGTTGTAACAGCAAAAAATGGTCATAATGGTCCACTTTTTTCAATGCTGTTATAACTTTGAACAGTCACTAAACAAACTATTGCATGTGACCACTACCTGTATATCCCACTTTTCTGCAGGTGACCAAGGCAGAACACACAGATTTCCTTTTCCAATTATTTGTCTCTATAAAAACAATCACTATGTGAGATAAAGTAGGAGAAGTGATTGGCCCAATCACCCAGTGAATTTACCTCAGTGAATCAACCAATCAAATCTTTATTAGGGTTATAAACCAGCATAAGAGCCATGGTGGTGCAGTGGTTAGAATGCAGTACTGCAGCTAATTCTGCTGCCTGCCAGCTGCCTGCAGTGCAGCAATTAGATTCTGACCAGCTCAAGGGTGACTCAGCCTTCCATTCTTCCAAGGTTAGTAAAATGGGGACCCAGATTGTCAGGGGCAATATGCTGACTCTGTAAACTGCTTAGAAAGATCTGTTAAGCACTGTAGAGCAGTATATAAGTCTAAGTGCTATTGCTATAACAAGGGTGGGAAACAAACTATTAGTAATTTTAAAAGTGAAAAAACATAAAATTCACATGTTTAGAAAACAAATTGTAAAAGCTAAGATAGATAGATAGATAGATAGATAGATAGATAGATAGATAGATAGATAGATA